ACGAAAAAGAGAGAGAGAGAGAGAGAGACGAGAAACGAGAAAGGGAGACAGAGAGAGAGAGAGAGAGAGAGAGAGAGAGAGAGAGAGAGAGAGAGAGAGAGAGAGAGAGAGAGAGAGAGAGAGAGAGAGAGAGAGAGAGAGAGAGAATGTACGAGCGACAAACAATCGTACCCGTGAAAAAGCGAAATAGGTTCCTCCTTCGCTCTCGAATTCCCGTCCGCGATCGGTCTCTGCTCGTTTATATTATTCCATCGAACGTAAAATTGCTCCGAGAAATCCGGCGTTTATCCTGTCAATGCGCTCCGCTTTTTTAGATCACGGAGATACGAATCAGGGATGGAAGAATGACTTTCGAGAGGCCTGAAGATTTTTGTGATAGCGAATTAAGGATATCGGACTTAAAGAATTAGGTTCCAGTTGACAAATTCTGGAATCACGGTCTAGTTGTTACGGTGTGGGAGTTGACTCGGGCACTCGCAGGAGAACGCTTTGTCTCGTGCCTGATGAAATATTTATTCGTTTGTCAATGATGAATTAGCTTTCAATAAAAACGAGCAGAGCGAAAGACGAGGCCTTTGTCGCGTTAGGTCTCATGGAAGACGCCTCGTTTCCCGATCAATCCCGACGAGGAGCGACGCGAAGCGCTCGTGTTCGACGGCCGACGACTCGGCTCGACGGGGGCCGCGTTCGCCAGCTAGAAAGATTTAAATTTGGACCGCACTCTCTTGGAACATGCGGTGCCGTGTGTGCGGTGCTGGGAGCAGGTTCGTCGTCCGCGGCCGCGTCTCGCGCGCGATCCAAATAGCCGGCCGGCGAAGCATCCCCTTCGTTCCACGCGAAGGACGGCGAAAATAATCTCCCGGCGTCTGCGAGCGGGTTTCCGATAAATCGCGCGCCGCGATCGCGTCTAGAAGGAAAATGATCGGGAGAGATTGTCGGGTCGACTGTGTTACTTCAAAACAAATGAGCTCCTCATCGGGACGATCGTAATTGGACGATTAAAATCAATCGGGAGGAAAAAACGCGACAGTTCGAACCAATCGAGATGCAAGCGGGGAACATAAATTTTCAGCTTGGCCGAATTGTATAAACATAATATCAGAATATGAACCTATTTATTACGATTTAATGCGACAATTTATAGGAACAGCTTTGCTTGATTTGTCTTGATTAATATATCGTGTATATTATCTCCTCTCTTCATTTGATTTAAAATAGAATTAAAAAAATGTGTAGGTAAGCATATTCAATTCTAAAATAAATGATTAAGTCAAAGAGCATAAAAGCTAAGCCCTTAAGCGTTAAATATTGTTTATAATAATTAGAAACAAAATATCATAATTGTATGAATTTTTCATATTGAGGCTTTTTATCTATATATTTCTCTTTTTTTTTATATTTTGATGTTATTTCAACCGATTAAAAAATATATTTCTTGTTGCGATTTTCATTTTATCTTAAATTTTATTATACTGAAAATGATGCAATGTAAAGTTGAAATGACGACTGTATTTTTTGATAATTTGTTCCTAATTATTACAATATTTGACATTAAAATAAGGTAAATAATTTTTATGTTCCGTGATTTTTTATTTAGAATACAAAAATTGCTATTTAAAAAATGCGATGATAAATTATCATTCCGTTCTGAAACGCGATAAATTGCTGTAGGTTCGAAGCGGAACTCCTGCATTTTGTGGTGATGAATGTTAATTCTGCTAATTGAGTTAGAAATGAGCTTCGAGACCGCGCAAAAATTTTTCGGACGTTCGATACAATAAAATAAATCCCATGAGCGACAGGCTTGAATGGAACGTAATGAAATTGCACTACGCAACACGCTGGGAATTATTTTCAATGATTCACAGAGGACTGATGCAAAACTAATCTATTAATTAGACTGCCGTGTAAAACAAATTATCACGCGAAAATCGAAACTGCGAAAGAATATATATTCCAGTGCGTTATTACAATTACTTTTGCAAAGTTCCCGAAATCCAAATAGCGTTTTCAATATAATTAGCCGATACTTTCAATAATAATATTTTCAACGTAATTAGTCCGCCATAATTGCTCGTCATTTAAGCAGAATTTAATACCGACAATTTACGCCGTAATTATTGGTACGATAAATTGTCGCTTTTATCTGCCATCTGCATTCCCTGCAACGATAGAGGAATATGTGTATTCGTATTCTTATGCGGCGATAAGAGCTGCGTGCGTCCGAGTGTCGCGTTACTCAAAACGGCCGCACGATCGGCAGTCAACGCTGGAACGTACAACGAAAACTTACAAAGGCAAGATTACGCTTATGCCACGATAAATCTCGATTCGTCGCGGAAACGGCGCGTCCTCGGGAAGAGAGTCAAGAAAAAAGATAAACGATAAAAAGGAAAAAGAAGAAAAAAAAAGAGGTGGAAGGTTAGCGCAGCTGCGCGCCGTACCTCTTATCACTGGCGAGACATCCTTGGATAGGTCGGCAATCCGCGCGCCTCTTATCTTATCCGATGTATACCTGGCTTCCCCTCGCGCGAAAATCTGGAGCACTCAACCGTACACAGAAGAGCGAGAAAGAGCGAGAGGCACGCACATATACACAACAAGCGCGCGTGCACACACACGCGTACACACACGCACACTTGAAACGCACACGCGGCGTGGCACCGACGCGATCCACGGACGTACGGGGAAAAGTTTTTGAAGCGCGGCGCGGCACGTCGCGCGACGATAAAGCCGGACGCGGCGCGCGATATCGTCGAGACTCCGCGAAAAAGCGAGCCGCGCGTGCCGGCCGGCCGGTCGTGCCGGAGCGGGCATTTCGAACGCGCACGGAACGCGCGTGGCGCACCGCGGCGGCGCTTGGGCGAACTAATAGATCGCGATCCGAAGCATGGAGGATAAAGTGGCGTCTCCCACGGACGGGGTTGTTCTTTTACCGACGCCGCGAGAGGCGACGGCGAGATCGTGGAAATCGGTAGGCAAAATGAGTTTGCCGGTGAGAATTTTATGTTCTTAAATATTCTTAGAATATCCTGAGAATGTTTGGAGAAATGATATATCGTATGGATGTTCTAAGTACATTTTGAGAATATACGAAAAAGTTGAATCGTGAATAGAGTATGTGTGAAATGATATGTTGTATGGATGTTTGAACACATTTTGAGAATATACGATAAATATGCCATGTAAATGTTCTAAGTACATTCTGAAAATATATAAGAAATGATGTATGAGAATATCCTGAGAATATGTGCGAAATAATATACCGTACGAATGTTTTGAACATGTTTTGAGGATATATCGGATAGATATATCGTGTAAATGTTTTAAGTACAGTTTCTGAGAGTATATAAGAAATGTACTGTGTGAATATTTTGAGAAATATATCATAGTGATGTTCTAAGAACTAATGATCAAAGATATATCATCTACTGTTTTCAATGTCTGTTCGCGAGAAGATTCGCAAGAGACCACTGATCGAAGGAAAAGAGGTAACTTCACTAGACCGAAAATGTTCCGACGGTCGGTAACAGTGCAAGTTAATCACAAAGTAGATTTATCAGGTCGGTAAAGATCTTGAATGTCGATAATATCCGCGTATGGTAATATGAACATGTTTTATCCCGGAGAATCATGCTAATTTAGACGTAATAGACGAAAATGAAGAGAAAACGAACGAAGAATTAAATTTAAATTGGCAACAGAAAATTTCTTTCGACCAATAACATAATACCTTGATATCCCTTAATGGTGTCGAAGCAATTAATATAATTTTTGAAATTTAATTCCGTACTCCTAATCCTCAATATTTAATTTTTCGTTATTTCTTTCATCGAATCTAAGTCTTTATTTTTACTGTAAAATATATTCGTTCGAAATTGGATCTCTTTCAAAAATATTTAAATTTTATCTAATCTTACATTGTCGAATGATCAGTTAGAAGATTCTGAGATAAAACAAGAATTCGTCTCACGGCGAGAAAGTATCTTCAGCGTCTCTCTCTGATCGCTGTTCGAATTCCAGAGAGGCGTGCTAAAAAGTCCGAACTAGGATTGAAGACGCTTAAACCACGCAAGAAAAAAAAAAAGAAGAGAAAAAGCTGATGTACTTTCTCGGCGTTTCGAATACGTCGATGCACCCAAACGAGTTTCATCTCGCGAATATCGCGGAGAGCATACGGAATATTAAAAGATATAGCATTGAAAAAAACATACTTGAAACGAGATACTCTGCAATTTAGACACATTGATTTATAAGATATTTATATATCGCTAATCCGATAGAAAATGCAGCTTTTTCATACAGCTTTTTCGATGGATGAGGCCCGCGGATCCGTTCCGCGCGATATCCTGTTATCGATTTGGCGAAAAATCTCACAGTGTAATACGCATAACTGTTGCGACTCGCGGTACGTCGTAATAGCGCGTAAGCGTGATAAGATAAAGCGAAGCGGTCGCGTATGTGTTATTTAATACCGTGGCGCGTGCGAGATCCAGTCGTTTCTGGACCTTTAATGCACATGGTCCTAAAGAGCCCTAAAGAAACAATAACTAGAGACGCTAGAAGTTCACAGACTATTACCGCATAATTATGTGAACCAATCATTAAAGTTGCGATAATCGACTCAAGCAAAATTCTCATTAAAATCTAAACTTTTATATATATTACGTATTTCTCGAATAAAGGTTTTATATTTCTGAAATTCTTATCGTCGTATACGAGAACGTCATCATTAAAATAGAAATATCCTGAAATGAGGACCAATGATAAATCGTTTTGCAACTTTTGAAAACGGAGAATAGAACGTATTTTTTTATAGCTTCGCTGGCATACGTTCTTGTATTCTGAGTGATAATTGTAATGTTTCGGATTTCATCGCTAAAATTCAGATTGAGTTCGACTGGGTTCAATCGTCAAGGGAGAAATCGTCGTCCGCGACGGTCGACGGTCGACGGTCGACGAACGCGGCGGAAGATCGACCTTATTCTTCGCGCGCTCACCTGAAGCTCCGCTTGCGAGACATCGATCTCGCCGCGGTAGACGAATTCGATGATGAACTTGAGGTCGTTGAAGCACACGTCCTGTGGCATGATGATCGTCGGGTGTTTACAGGGGTTTGACAGCAGAAGCTTCTGAAAGTAGGAGCTACAGGCCGACAGCACCACCTGAAAACGTAGAAAAGAACGAAAACATCGTAAATAGAGATGTGTCAAATAGAGATAACATTTCGCGATTAAATCGCGATTTCTGATTTAAATCTACTGGATAATGCAAAAGAAGCGTTCGACAGACTTTCGTGCACCGCGATCGTTCCCATTTTGCTTCTCGAAAATGTGTTGTTCTATAATCAAATGGATTCTCTCAATATTCAAAGTATCGATATTTCAATTAGCGCTGTCGAGAGATTAAGAAAGTTTGTATTACTTAAGATTAATACTGGCTATCCGAGTATTGAATATTTCCTTAGTATCGTAAATAATTCATTAAAGTGTTGTAAATAATTGTAATCGAAATACGAATGTGATTATGCGCTACTAGCTACTTTTAAATGCTCGGAGAGCAGAGCCGTAAGTACAACAAAGCAAGCATCATTTTAAATTGACAACAAATATTTACACGACATTTTTAACATCAGTCTGTTATAAATTCGTACTAAATTTTCGATATAATTTTAATAATCTTCGTTCCTCTCGAATCGAGGTCTGACGTTCGATTTCGCGCGTTCGATCGCGGTCGCGTCATCGATCTCTGTCTCTCTTTCCTGTGGTACATCGCGTACATCGGCCTACCTTGTGCGCCTTTAACGAGGCCTCGTTGCATGCCAGGGTGACGTCGACGAAGGCCTCGGTCTGCAGGAGCTGATGGAACACCGACGTCATATTCGACTGGTAGTTGTTCCAGCGCAGGCAGTAGTGCTGCCCGGCCATGCCGCCGCTGCAACAGAGAAAGATCGATTCAGTCGAGTTCTTTTTTTCTCTCTCTTTCTCTGGGTTGGTGGACTTTTCCCTTCGTGTCGAAAAGTCGGATTCATCGGAAAGTCATCGAAGACGACGACCCTAAGAGACGACGAGAGCCTCTTCCTTCCCGCTTTTTCCCAACCGCGATAGTCATCCCCCGTTGTGCCGTTTCCCCTGCCACGAGAGATCGATCCGCGGAGAGCGGGACAGTACCTGTAGTGCACGCCCCAATAACGATCTGTCTCCATGAAATATTGGGTTTCTTTTTCCGCCACGGCCACCGCCAGAGAAGATATCTCCAAGAGGTTTTATGTACCGGACGGGAGACGATATCCACGCGAGCACGAAAAAGAGAAAGGGAGAGGAAGAAAGAGAGAAAGAGAGAAGGTAGATAGGTACGAAGGTTTTTCTACACGCCACGGGGGCGGCGAAGCGCGGGTGGCGGAAACGAGCAAGAGACGAGAAGAATAAGATGAGCGGAGAGGAACAGGGAAGAAGAGATGATGCGGGGCAGAAGGGGGAGGGGTGAGGAGATAGAAGATCGGTGTGTGGGATAGGGACGACGCGCGGGACGGGGGAGGGGGGAGGGAGGCTGACGAAAGGAACGACGAAGGGAAGAAGCAGGAAGAAGAAGGGACGGCGGTCGCGGCGGGGAGGACGTTATTTCCGGAAGCGCGGCGCGGCGCAGTGCGGCGCGGGAACACAAAAAAAACCAGAAATACACTTTCGCGTACTGCCGAAGAGGTCTAACGATCGATCGGTCGATCGTAATCGATTTGGCGTTACGATCGGGAGCCACGCAACCGAGGAGGAAGACGCGAGGAGCGAATCGGCACGCGTCGCGAATACAACAAGGTTCGGGCGTTGGTCTGCCCACGTCGCGACATTCACCTGTTCCGTGGACCGTGCTTTATCTGCCTCTATCTATGTGACTCTTTATACCGGGCCATTCCGCCCGTTATCTGTCCGTAGGAACACGGGCTTTTATCAGTTGCTTAGACGTGCGCCGATAACGGGGAACTTTAAGCTCGCCTTCTACCGCCTTCTCTCCCTCTCTCTCTCTTTTTTTTTCTTCTTCTTCTCTCTCTCTCTCTCTCTCTCTCCTCTCTCTCTCTCTCTCTCTCTCTCTCTCTTTCTCTCTCTTTCCCCTCATTCTCCTCTTCACCTCCTGCTACTTGCGCTCGTTTCGACGCTCGTCGTTGCCTTTCATCCGCTCGCTCGTACGCCTGCCCGCTCGCTCAAGAAACGTCTGGGAAATCTTCACGACACCTCGCCTCTATCATCCTCCGCGTCTGATTCGATATGGAACGCCCCCATCGATGTCACTACTTACGAATCTTCCGTAGAATATTATACGAAAATCTATTCTTCTCGAAATTAATTACCTAAATGTAACGTCAATAATTTAGATTGCTCGATTTTAAGCTTTGAATTTCCAAATTTGTCGCATGACGATTATCTCTCAATTCTCTCAATTCTCACAACTTACGATTGTAAGTTTAGAAACGTCAAGCAAAACAATGGTTAATAAAAATACTTCACTATCGCAAAATACCGACTCTTTTTTAAAATACTTTTATAATTCTTTATATCAATAAAAATACGTTTCACTCTCGCAAAATTCTGATTTTTTTTTTTTCTTTCCTTTTATCTTTCTTTATGTTACATATTTTACTGTGCAAACAGGCTGCCGTAAATAAATACACTTCTTTCTTAACCCGATCTTAACTCTTCCTTTTCCAAGTTCTCAGTTCTTCTCTGCTCTCTCTCCTCGCATTTCATCATCATCCCTTTCGCAGCCCATTGGCCGGCACGCTCGTACCATCTGCCGTTTCTCCGGCTATCCTTCGAGGGCCCTCGATGTGGACGCACCTGCGAACGATTGCAGGTAACGCACGGCTGTGAATGTACGTGAGCGCACCTGACGCACTTACTTCGCCGGCCTCTATCTTATACTTGCGAAGTAGATACGCGCGCGTGCTGTTCGTTTCGATCTGTTATTGCGATCGATTATTGCGAGAAATCACACCGGCGAACATCGGCCGTGCCTCCGATGTAATGAACTTCCAAAATTCCATTAACACATATCCTTGGACGCTCGTTCAATTTCAATCGGATCCCCGATATTTGCTTACTAAATATTTGCCCCGTTACAAAATCAGCGGAATTCTCAAAATTTGTTATAATAGTAAATAAAATTTGCTATTGCCAAAACAAAACTCATACCTCAGCTCAATTAACTCCCTGCCCCGGTTTTCCAGTTCTGATCCCACAAGAGGGAAATAAATTAATTGAAATAGAATTACGGAGTTCAAGATGTGTCGACGAGAGTTCGAGCCGTAATGACAATTTCGGGACTTGGCAAAAAAACCAGCGCCTCTCGCATTCTCTTTATTTTGACGAACGCGATGACGCGTCGTCGTTTCACAACGTTCTCCTCGACACCTGGAGAAACTACGATTCGTTTGAAATCTGTTCGCGAAATCGAAACGCCGCGAATTGCCTTATGTCTATGTAGCGAGCTTATGCGTGCGTGTCGCACGATATAGACACGCAACTCGCGTAACAGCAATGTGCGCACATTGATATCGCGAAATTGGGTTACCTAGCGTGCCGACCGCGAAGACGCGCTGATAATTCGTGATAACGGGAAAGAATGATGATAATCGATTGTTGCGCATTAATTCCTTTTCTGTTCCCCGGTTTATCTAATCCATCATGTCGCAATTGTGTGATTTCACCGTTACAACTTTGTAAGCATTCGATGAAACTGGGAGACGTATCGCTAAGCCGATAATAGCAGAATTCCTACCTTTTCCGATTTCAACTTTTATCGCCGCAGATGGTTGTGATAAAAAGATATTTTTTAGAACGAGAGAACGAACAGAAAGAAACACTTAATATATTCGGTCGCACTTCCCCGAGTCCTTCACGGACGTAGCAGCATCTCTTAATAATTGCGTAATCCGCATGTATCTCTCATAAAATAAAAATACACAAGGGAATCAGATACAACAAGATTTTTATAGCTTTATTTCATTTTAAATATAGCGAGGCAGGAACGTTTTGTAAAAGTTCCTTTTAACGGCACATATACGTGTATGTACTTAAAAGATTCTGCTTTTATTAGTTTTCAGTTGAAGGGAATAATGATAATTCTGTCATTTGCCAGACGAAGCTTAACGGCCTTCTCTTTGTATTCCATCTCTTTATTCGCGACGGAATAATTCGAGAGAGGCGAATAGTCGGCGAATAATCATAAAGACCCGTTGCATTTTCACCGTGTCGCGTAAAAAAAAAAAAGTAACTTCCCTGTATTCCGCCATTCGTCTGTATATCTCATCCTGTATAACCCCCGCCATTTTTATCCGCGATGAAATAATTTTTGTGGGTAAGCCGCCGGGAAGACCACCCACAGTATTTTCCAATCGCGTTACACGAGGCTCGCCTCCTTATATTCCCTGATTATCGTTCTTTCTTATATCTCGCCGTGTGTTACCCGCGACGGAATAATTTGCGCGGGCGAATAGCCGGAAAGATCGAGCGCGATTCGATCGCGGCGCGGCGTAAAAGTGGCTCACCTAGTTTTGAGGAACATTGTTTAAAGCCCCTTGCGACACGGCTAACCGCGTTGATTTGAGGAGGATAATTGAGTGAAAGAAGGAAGACGCGCAATTAAAGCGGCCGCGGAGAGAGAGAACCGGGAGAAAACCGGATGCAACGCGACGTGAAGAAACGGAGTGAGACGGGATGGCCGGGCGAGATGAGATGATCTCGACTAGTAGTAAAATTTTACGAGACAATCCTATACATCCGTGTTTTGCAAACAGAGAGAATGAATACTCATTTATGTTAATAAAATTAAAACGTTTTGAATTTGCGTGTATAAAATAAGCATTTAAATATTTGCTTAAACTTCCGAATGTAATAAAAAGGATGAGATTTCGTGTAATTGTACAACAATTTTTTATTCGCGATAATAAATGCGAAATTAAAAAAAAATCGTGTGCTCTCCTCACGAGCGACGCGAGGAATAAAACGTGAAAATTAGAAAAATAAAAAATTAAAGTAAAAAATTAAAAAAGTATTAAAATGTGTGTCAATATTATGTAAAAAAAAAAAATCTAAATTTTTTTCCTATATTTTTCCTATGTGTTATGAATTATATCTTTTAATAATTAAAATCTACGATGTAAATATATGCTTTTCATGCATTTCAAAGCATGCAGTTTCATAGCTTTTGAAACACAAATTGTATACGTTTAACTAAATAATTTTTAAATTATCCGAGTGTTAACTCGGTATCTCGAGTATTCAGTGAAAATTGCGACAATCAGTGCGATCGATTGCAACCATCGATACGCTTTCTCGATATATCTTCGGTCTTAATGCGATGCACGCGTTAGGATCTAAAACACTTTGCCTGGTTTCTCCGGGGAGTTACGGCCTCGGCGGCCGTCTCTCGAGCGATTTTCCTGTCACTTTCACTGAAACTCACGAGAAGAGGAACGCGAGGAGGCCGCCGGTGGTGACGAAGAATCGTGGACGACAACGGCGCGCTCGAAAAACGTCAGGAGAAATTGCGAATTTACAGGCGCGATCGCAAGAGGGGATGCGAGCACGTTTCCCTCGATTTCGTATGTGCGACGAAAGCGCGAGAGGGCGGAAGAAAACGATGCATCTCTCCTTGTGACATGACACCGAAATGCTGTAGAAAGATAATAAAAAAATGTTCACGGGGGGGGGGCCCCAGTTAGCTCGCACGCCAATCTTTCGGGCGCATAGAAAGCCGCCGCTTTCCTGAGAAATAGTAAACCGAGAGTCTCGGCAAAGATCAGGGAACGAAAAGAAGAATTCAATCTCTCAGATTACATTTTCCGCATACGATAACAGAAAATGTGATAACGAAAATGAGATAATGTGGCTATGTCAAAATAGAACGGTTATATTAAAATAGAATTTCACACTAAAAAATGC